CAACAACAACAACAACAACAACAACAACAACAACAACAACAACAACAACAACATCAACAAAACAACCCCACTATGAAGATGAATGATTTCTCTCAAGATCAACCAAATTCGAAAACTGAGCCTTTCAAAATTCACAATCGTGTCGTCTGTATCGCAACCCACTTAATGCCCACTGATCTCACAGCGTGTCCAGGGTCATAAACCGGTTATCTCAGAGATATACATGTATTTATTAGTACTGGCATCTGTGGTGTAGCTGCTCGGCGCTTTGCCCCCGAACGCAGAAGAACCGAGTTCGATTCCCATGTAGGGAAGTTTTAAAAATCGACGTCTGTCTGCCGGGAATCGGGAAGTTTTCTCAGCCTGGCCCACCTCCTTAACGCTCTAAATTATGTGACTGGGGCGTAAAATATCTGTATCTATCATAATATTATGGGATTTATTCACAGCAGCGTAGATACAACAGACGAAAAGTGAGGCAGCCGAAATCTTTGTCTTCCAGAGAACGCCTGATGAAGACCCTGCTCCCTATCCTGATCGGCGGAATAATCCTAGCCCTGTTTGAGGTTTCCTCTGCCATCGCGTCCTTCGTTCACGTCGGAATTCTGGAAGAAGAGTTCGGGGACGGGCTCAGGAAAGCGATGGATCAGTGAGCACTGGCATGTTTTGCTTTCCATTTTGCTTTTGGATCCTTTCAAAATCCCTCGCTTTTCTATAGTATTTTTTTCTGATAAAAAGCCAACCAACCAAACTAAACGAAAAACAAAAAGAAAGCAGAAAAACCATTATAAATGAATACGCAATCAAGCAAAAACCCAAAACCAAACAAACCCCAAACAACAAACAAACAAACAAACTAAAAACAAAACAAACAACAACTCCACAAAACAAACAAGACCCCTCCCTCTCCTCCCGCTTTAAAACAATAAAACTATCTTCAGGAAAACAATAGGAACCCTCCCTCCCTCCCTCCTTCCCTCCCTTCCCTCCCAATTTTCCCCGCTAAATAAAAACATGTATTAATGGAAATAATATTAATGGTAAAAAACAGGAATGAACTACATGTATTATCAGCCTTCCGCGTATTATCTTAGAAAAATACCATTTTGCGAACAGAGAAATCAACAGCTAATTGGGAAATACACGCGTTTTACATCGTCATGTACAAATGTGTCTAAATTAGGCTCTAACAAAAATACAGCGTTACTTTACAGGGTACATGCATCCGAATGTTGCAGCGGCAGTAAAGGATGTGAATGGGGGAGCATTTTTAAACACACAAACACACATACACACACACACAAACACACATACACACACACACACACACACACACACACACACACACCCACACACAAACACATACATACACCCCCCCACACACAAACACAAACGCACACACAGACACACAGTTGCACGCAAATACTACTGTGCACGTCAACGCATAATATGCAAAAACAACAAAATACACATACATTGTATTAACACACACACATACACACACACACAC